ATCAGACAACTTCATCAAGCAATCAACAGTGTATTAAGTGTCTGACATGTACCTGAAAGCCTATTAAGTACAGGAAGTAGAAAGACGAATACAAAAAAAATTTTTTTGGAGAGACAGACATACAATAATTAAACAATATAATAAACACTATTAAAGAAGTATGTGAAGAATACCGTGGGAGCTCAGGAGAAGGATGGCTTCACAAAAGAAATGTCATTTGAGCCCGGTCATTTGGCTTTCATCAAAAGCATAAGGTTATGTTCCAAGTAGGAGTTCCAAGTAGGAGTGTTCCAAGTAGGGGAATTGGCATGTGCAAGGGAAGGTCTGAAAAGAGCCACCAGAGTAAGAGTATACACCCTAGGCAGAGGGCCCAAGAAAATTCAGCAGATGTTGAGAAATAGCATCAAGACTTCCGTATTGAAAATTTTTATTGGAATGTTTGAACATATTCTAAGTGCTGCAGATACAGTTTGATCCATGGCTGAAACAGTATAACCATGATAGGTTTGTTCTCTGTCTTCTCTTCTCCATTTCTTTAACCCCATACAAGATGACTGGTCCCCATAACTCAAACAGAAGTTCTAGATTACAGTCTCTTTAGTGCCAACCGACCGCTTGGTTGATATCCCTTCTCGGAGACAATCACCATGACCAAGGGAAAGGAATTCACTGACTAGGGCTTCCCATGTGGGGAAGGATGCTTCCAGCCAAGCAAGGCAGGTGTTTTTGCCACAAGGGAATTGCAGATACGAGATAGCAAACACTAGAAATACCTGCTAAGTGGGATCACTTAAAGTAGAGGTAAAATCTTCATTGCTTTGAAGATTTTTATTTATGTTTTCCATCATACTGTCTCAGTAAATAATCCAAAATTCTGAATAAAAGATTTAAAATATTCCATCCCTAGTTTCTAATTAAAGGGAATTTTTTAAAAACGGGTACGGCGTAGTATAAGATTTCAATAATGCTGCTCTCGTGTACTCATTTGAATACCAGCAAAAAGTAAGAGGTACGAATGTTCAGCATATGTGAAGAATAAGTTGCATATGAGAGCTGGAATTAATATTATAATGGAAATGATCAATTTCCTGTCATAAAGGACCAGTGGAAAGTGATGGACTCACTCATGCCTTTGTAGAACTCAAAAATGTTTATACCCTTAGACTGGTTATTTTAAGTTTAAAGTATTCACCCTTTATTTGATTTGGCAGTGAAGTAATTATCCTTGTATAGTGACATTTCCCTGTTACCATGTGAATTTACTGAATTCACAGAGGTAGGGCTCCAGATTAGAAATGTAGGTGTTAATGATAGAGACAGCAGCAAATTTTGAAATATATGAAAATGAACTTGATATGAGTAAGATATTTACTGCTGTTATATATAATTGGACACATGCACTTACATAATGTATTCAGAGAAAAATGAAACTGAATTGAGAACTCTGAGAGAATGAATCATTCTATATAATACAATTCCATATAGCTAATTTCCAAATACTCGGTCAGCTTTTCCCTGCAGTATGAACTTTGCTCTAAAATATATTTCATACTTTTTCACCATCTTAAGTAGAACAAATTGAAGATAATTCCTTTTTCTTTATGATTCAGGTCATTACAAGTATCATTTATTATGCTGTGAAGTAACAGACGTCTGTAGGATTGCTTGTCCCTTGTGAAAAAGCCACAAGGTGCTTTGAGGTCTTACGTGTACGTCATGTCCTTTTTAACCTACCACTCTACTTCCTGTCACTTTTTGCTCCTGGGCTGGTAGCAGCCTCTTCTAAATGCTAAAGATTTTGAAGGCATTCACATTGTGTATAAAGTTGGAGTACATAGGCTTCAAATATTGACGTAGTGGGCCTGGTTTATAGAGGCTTAATAAACCTTCATTGGCTGAATATATGTTGTAGTCTTTACAGGCATACTCTCTTTTGTAACCTAAGGAGGGGAGGTATTCAAAAGGAGAGAAATTCAAGCCGATTGGCATTGCCAAAGATAATTATAAAATCTTAACTTTTAAGAACTTGAGGTTACCTCAATAAAAATACATGTCGGGCTATAAATCTGCAACCAACCTTTGTCTGGCAAAGATCCATGCCATTTGCTGCCATGTCTAAAAGAGAAGCACAGCTGTCAGTGGGCTCGCTTCCTTCCTTCTGCTAATAATTTTACCTTTATACCTCCTCTAGCTCTTATATCTTTGTTGAACTTAAAGCTTCAAGGAAATGAAAAGTACTTCCTCACAATTGAATGTTGGCCAATCCCATGCTATTCAAATATGAGAAAGCCCTGATTAGCTATCATCCTTTTAATCTAAAACTAAGAGTGTGCTTTCAGTATTTCTTCAGTGTAAATCTTCATTTATCTCATTCTTTCATTCCTCTTGCAGTTCTCCAAATATCAGGTGAACAGATTGTTTAGGTATTTTGGAATTGGAATGTCATACTCCCTCATTCCTCCCCCATCTCGTTTTTTGTTTTGTTTTGTTTTTCCCCTAAAAACCTCATTTAAAAATCCTTATAGAGTCTTGTACTAAATAGCTCCCTCTTGAAGTTCTGGACAAAGCAAAGTAAGCCGACTTTCTTTGGCCTCCTTATGAAAAGTTCTTTTGCAATCTGGCCACTGGCTGTAGCTTTTACATTTTCTTCTATAAAAATTATGGTGTGCTGTAATTTATTACATTGTTGTAAAAAAGATCAATGGGCTTTGGAGTTAAATCAGTCCATATTCAATCCATTATAGTAGCTTTCCCTGCCCTACATGCCTTTGACTGTTGGGCATATGTTCAAATACTATGAAAGGAGAAAATTTTCTGTTTCTTATTGAGATAAACCCAGCATTTTGCTTGTAGGCTTTTGCTAGCTTTGATTGTTTGGTAGAGGAGAGTTACAGCTCAGGTGGTCAAGTACTATAGGCCTTCCTATTGTATTTTTAGTACCTTTTAAATTCAGAGTCCGGTTTTGATACAGATTCCAATATAGTGGGAAGGCCAGGGGGAGCAGTGGAGGGATCTCATCTTAAAAGCAAGACCATGGGTGATGATAATTATCCACAACTGTACAGTAATAATTATGTAGTTCAGATAATTGCAATGAAAGTATGGAAGTTACTCTAGACTAGCATCTCTTTTTCCTCTGGTGTCTCTGAGATGAGTTTTATCTGTAGTCACTTAACATTGTCCAATTTAATGTATATTATTAAAGCAACTGTCCAACTTTATTTCATGTTGTTATTATTTCCTCTCTTTAAAATCTTCTTTTTAATAGACCCTTTCATCACCAAGATCTATGCAAGCCTACCTTCTGCACTTAAAAGGCTAGCTCTAGGGGCACCTGAGTGGCTCAGATGGTTAAGCCAGGTCATGATCTCAGGGTCATGAGATTGAGCCCTGGGTAGGGCTCTGTGCTCAGCATGGAGTCCGCTGGAGATTCTCTCTCTCCCTCTGCCCCTCCCCCAACTCACCCACACACGCTCACTCTTTCTTTCTCTCTCAAAAAAAAAATAAATAAAATCTTAAAAAAAAAAAAAAAGCTAGCCCTTAATTTGATTAACTGAGTTGATACCAGTTTCTTAGAGGTTACAAAAAGATAGTTTTTCCTCAAAGTGGAACTTCCTGAAGGGCTGGTATATAATTTGACAGCTCCAGTCTAGCACCATGGGGTAGCAGGAACTTTGTCTTATGCCTTAGGTACCAAGGCCACTGTCAGAGTTTTCTGAAATTCAGAAACCATGTGTGTATGTGCACATGTGTGTTGTTTTTTCTTTATTATAAATATGTCTACATTATAAACAGTTTAAAAATGTACCAGTATATAGACGTGAGTGTGCCTCTCTCCTTAATCCCGCTTCCCAAAAGAAACCACTATAAAGTTACTTAGTTTTGTGCATATAGAGACATGTATATATCTATATCTATAAATATATATATGTAATTTCTTAAACAAAATATCATAGTATACTTATTATTCTTTATTTTTAGTTAATTATACATTGTGAATATCCTTCCATGACAGTAGATCTAGTCTTTCTATATACCATTTTAGACAGTGGATTTCCCTCTTCCCTTATTTTTTATTTTTAGTACATTCCACACCCAGTTGAGCCCAATGCAGGGCTCGAACTCATGACCCTGAGATAATGACCCTGAGCTGAGAATAAAAGTCAGGAGAAGCTTAACCAACTGAGCCACCCAAGCGCCCCTCCCTATTCCCTTATTGATGGACTTAGGTTGTGTTTAATTTTTTTTGCAGCTAAAAGTGTTGTAGTAAGCATCTTTGTGTTTATTTTTGCCTACTTGTTTAAGAATGTCTGTAGGATAGTTTCCTAGAGTTAATATTGCCATATCAAAAGGTATGCACTTTTAACATTTTGATACATGCTGTCAAATGACCCTCTAGACAACAAGAACAAATTTATAAGCCTGCTACTAGCATATGAGGGTTCATTTTTCCTACATCTTCAACAACATAGTCACCCGTTTATGATCCAGAGAACATGAGTTGTAAATAATAAATCTCAAGATTATTTTATATTAACTTTGATTTATGGCTTCCACAAATAGCCTTCAAAAATAGGTGCTTTTAGTATTTTCCTTTTATCACTCTAAACCTGTTCAGATATGGAATGTTCTGTCAAGACAAGACAATTCCTTTTTTATTATTACAGGTGTGAATTATCTTTTTAAGGAATTTACTTTATCATTTGTTGCCAAATACTTCTCTTCTTGAATATTTCTTATATGACTGACCAAGTTAGAATATTAGCTTCAAAAGCTTACTCTTTAATGTTGGAATTGAAGGAGCAGCTATTGAACATGTCATTCTCTTTGCTGAAATTTATGTGCGATCGCTTTTGAAATACCCCTTGAGTTTTACTGAGCACCTAACACTGATTATAATGGTGATTGAATAGTAATTTAAAGCATATTAAAGGAAACTTCATGAATCCAAACAAATGTTGATGAAATCTGAGCTTTATTTATTGCTTGCTTGCTTGCAGGTGGATTCACCAATGAACTTGAAGCATCCCCATGACTTAGTCATATTAATGAGACAAGAAACAACAGTTAACTACCTCAAAGAATTGGAGGTGAGGCAATGGGAATGTGATATGCAGCTGAAACTTGTTGCATTTCACAGGAGCTGTTATATTCAAAGAAAAATGAAAGCACATTATTTCTTAAGCCCTATTCTTCTCAGTTTCATATATACTTTTAATCACATTTTTAAAAGTAACATTTAATTGGAATGACATTTGAGCAATAGTAAGAGAAACGGACTACCCTGGGTTTTGCCTGATTCTTGACTGACTATATCCTCGAACAGGGATTCCATGTATAAATTTCTCCATCAAGTATGAAAAGGAATAATCTCTCTGCATATGCTTAGAAGGAGAGTTTGGGTAAAATACAAAAATACAAAAAGGAAGAATGGTTTCAATACTCTGTAAAAGAATGTATTTTTTTATTAATTCCCGAGTAGGGTCTTGTTATTGTGTGTTTTTTATGATGAGGTGAAAGCATTAATCACTTTGCACTTTGAAAACTTTAAATCTATTCATACTAATAAAGTGTGACCTTTTTGTTTCTATCATTGATTTCCATAAACTGATTTTGCTTAATAACAAACAATATCAGTTATCTGAAAAAGTAGGAGTAAGACAATAGGTATATTTATACTGCTTCATGCTTGGAAGCTTTATCTGTTTTTATTTAACCACAGTGTTCAAAAAATGCAGTGGTGCAGAAAATAGTTTTTATTTTCAGATGCATATACATATTGTATATGTTTATTGCCATTCTTGTTTTAAGAGGCAGTATTATATAATATAAAGAGACTTAAATGAGAGTATATGAAAGGGGAAAATGCCATTCACCATATCAATGAAAACGAAAATGAAAAGTGTTGATTCCATCAGGTTTTGATTAAGGTAGTGGGGACTCTGGTATAAAGGTACAGGCTGCAGATATATATTTGTTAGACATTGAAATACAGACTTAAAGCCATGAAACTAAATAATACCATTTATCTACAAAGTAGTGACAACTAGATGGACTTCTTAAAGTACCAGAAGACAGTGGAGGAGTAGCCTCAGAGTGCTAAGGGAAAATCAGTCAAAGTAGAATTTTATGTTCTTGTAAGCCATCATTCAAGAGTGAGGGCAAAACAAAGATGTTTTCTGACAAAGAGTTTACTTACTGCAAATTCTCACTTTTAAGAAAAATCAAAGATGTACTTCTACAAGAAGAAAAGTAAACCCAGTAGATATGCATAGGATGTATAATGATGAGTAAAAATACTGATGAAGAAGTTGCTAAACTTATTTATTTATTTTTTGCACTTTGAAAGGTAAAGCTAGGTAATTGGAATGAAGCATGTTCAGTGATTAGGTAAAGCCTGTTAGACTCTTCTGTCATGTTTAGGAGAAGGTAAAATAAATAAATTAAAATCCTGTTGGAAAATTTATGGGCAAACATACTAAAAATTTAAGAGTATTGCTACCTTTCAAGTAGTATTTTCAGTATAATTGATTTCCTTTGTCATTCTATTTTTTTTTTTATGTATTTAAAAGACGACTCTGAGAAAGGGGTCTACAGGTTTCATTAGACTGCCAAAGAAGTCTGTGACACGAAAGAGTTAAGAACCCCTGGATCCTGCTATCAATATTCAGGAAATACAGAGGACAAAGAAAAGGACGCATTAAATGAACCTAGGAGATACAATCAGCAAAATCCTGTAGAGTGGCAGACTCTGCAGAACAAATGACACAACTTGTTTAACAAATAAATTACAAGGATTAGAACTATAGATTACATTTCTGTTATTCTAGTGCTTGCCCTTACCTTATTACTTTGTTAAGTTTTTCATCAGTAAATATTTTATTTATGACATTAGGATAGGGAAGGATTCCTTAAATAACATAGAAATCACAATTAAGAAAACTGATAGTTTTGACCATCTTAAGACTAAAAGTTTCTCTTTAGCAAGTGACACCATGAACAAAATTAAAACATAAGCTTTAAGCCGGGAGAAGATATTTGCAGTACCTATAACTGATAAAGAATGAGTTTACAGAATCATTCTTCATAAATATGTACAAATCAATAAAAAAAACGGGGAAAAATAGGCAGACTTGGAAGGTCAAGTTACAAAATATCTCATAAACATATGAAAATATGTTCAGTCACATTAATGATTGCATTAGTTAAGATGGCTACATTTTGTAGTGGATGACAACTTTTGCATTGGCAACAAACAGTCCCAAAAATCTCAGTGCTGTTTCATGGAGGAAGGTGGAGGCTCAAGGAAGAGTAACCAAACATAGAAGACTGATTAAAGTTTCTACTTAGAAGTGACATCATTTCTACTCACATTCCATTGTCCACATCAAGTCACATGGGCAAGCCTGACGTCATAGGGCAGTATATAGTATAGCCTACCTATGGGAAAAGAGTCAGGAGGGAATGAGTAAGTGGAAACAGATCATTTAGTAACATCCCAGTGATCTTCGTGGCTTAAAACAATAAGGTCATATTAATTGTCACTCTGGTTCAAATGCCAGACCCAGGCTGACAGAACAGCCACTCTCTGGCATATTGCCATTCTCAGTATCTGAGGGAAAAGAAAGAGCACAGTAAAGCATACACTAGCTCTAAAAAATGTTTCCCTTCAGAGGATTCAGTGGCACATCTCATGTTACATTTGTCAAAGTAAGTCATACTGGCCACATCTGAGTTAAGCAGAACCGTGATGTGTTGACTCCTTTGTAAGGAGTTGCAGCAGATTCATTAATAGTAATACAGTCTAACCCAATAATCATAACATTTAATGCCCATCAAATTGACATAAACAAAAAATGTGATGTTGGTAAGTTTGTGGGGATATGGGTATTATGATAATCTGTTGGTAGAATCCTAGTGGTTATAACAACTTTAAAAACCAGATTGACAGTGTCTAAATCAGAAAATGTGTATCCCATATGTCCCCTGCATCCCATATTTTTACCCCTTCTGGGTCTTTTACACATGTGCACAAGGAGGCTTTTATAAGAATATCATAGCATTTTTAATAGCAAAAAGATAAAGAAGCAACCTAAAGGTTTATAGAAAAAATGGATAAATACATTTTTATTCATCTGTTAAAATGAAAAATTTAGAGCTATACTGATCACTGTAGATAAATACTAAAAACATAATAAGGTTAAAAAATAAGTTGTAGAATGATATAGGATGATACTATTTACATAAAGTTTTTAAGCTTGGAAAGCAATGCTAGATGTTGATTTGGGACATATATATGGATATATATGCACATATGCATATATATAAAATATTTTAAGAGAATAAGAATAATATAGTAATATTTTATAAAGATATACACAGAAGTAATACATCAAACAAATTCAGGATAGTGGTAACTTTGGGAAGGGAGAGAGGGATTTTGAAGGCAGTAAAGAAAGGTTTCGACTACCTTATTTTTCCTTTTTAAAAAATCTGAAATGAGTATGGCAAATGTTATCATATGATAGATGTGGGTGGGTGGTGGAAACTTAGGTTTTTATGTAATTCCTCTATATGTTGGAAGAAACAAAATTGTGAGTAGCAGGAATTCACCTGGAATACAGGGCATTAGGGGAAATTATTCCAGTCCACAGTATCAACATGCTGGATGTCTTTTTTTTTTTTTTTTTTAAGGTTTTATTTATTGACAGACACACAGTAAGAGAGGGAACACAAGCAGGGGGAGTGGGAGAGAGAGAAGCAGGCTTCCTGCAGAGCAGGGAGCCCAGTGCGGGGCTCGATCCCAGGACCCTGGGATCATGACCTGCCCTGAAGGCAGACACTTAACGACTGAGCCACCCAGGTGCCCAACATGCTGGATGTCTTGAAGGACTGAAATATGATGTGTGGACAATTCAAGGTAGTTTTAATTGCTGAGCCATTCTGTTCCAGGGAAGTTAAGTTGATAGATGCAGTTTATAGGTAGTCAGAGATCCTATTATGAAGGTATTCAGCTGCCATTATCATAAATGTCATATACTGTTACTTTCTATATGTGGACACTTGTTTAGAGAAGCTTATTTATATCAACTAATTAACTCCCCCTTATCCACAGTTTTGCGTTCTGTGGTTTCAGTAACCCATGGGTCAACTGTGGTCCAGAAGCAGATAATCCTTCTGATCTATTGTCAGAAGGTCAATAATAGTCTAACACTATGTCACAATGCCTACGTCATTCACTTCATTTCATCTTATCATGTAGGCATTTTATTATATCACATTATCACAAGAAGGATAAGTAAAGTACAATAAGATATTTTGAGAGAGAGAGACCAGATTCACATAACTTTTATTACAGTATAGTGTTGTAATTGTTCTATTTTATAATTAGTTATTGTTGTTAATCTCTTACTGTGCTTAATTTATAAATTAAACTTCATTATACGTATATATGTATAGGGAAAAATACAATATATATAGGGTTTGGTACTATCCGTGGTTTCGGGCATCCACTGGGAGTCTTGTAGGATGCCCTTACAGATAAGGGGGGACTACTTTGTTCAGAATCCTTGTCTTCCTTCACATAGAGGATTTTAAATTCTCCTTTCTCTTACGTGGTATCTAGACTGAGATATTAGAAAAATCCACTGTGTTCTCATTGTCTTCTTAACAGAAGCAATTAGTTGCTCAAAAAATTCATATAGAAGAGAATGAGGACAGAGATACAGGACTGGAACAGAGACATAATAAAGAAGATCCAGACTGCATCAAAGCCAAAGTGCCCTTAGGGGACCTGGATCTGTATGATGGCACATACATAACTTTGGAAAGCAAAGACATCAGGTAAAGAAATTCTCTTTCCAGAAATAAAATTAACGTTTTCTTGAATAGACCTTTCTCAAGTCAATAAGAAATTATTTATCTAATGAGGATGAGCTTCAATCACAGATGAGTTTATCGAAATTTGAAAGTTCAAAATACACTACAAGTAGAATTCTTAAATATCAATTAAAAATACTTAATACCACAGAAGATTGAACAATTTACAGTAAAAGAAATACAAATGGCCAATAAACATGTGGAAAACCTCTCTCAGTAATGATCAAATAAGTACAAAATAAACCATTTAGATAGTTTTCATCTATCAAATGGGAAAAAATATTTAAAAATCAGTAACTGGTAAAAATGTGGAGAGGCTGTCAACAGAAGTGTAAATTGGTTTAACATTTCTGGGAAGAATATTAAAAAAACTTTTAAAAAGCTCATAATCATAACGTTCTTTGGTCTACCTACTATTTTCTGTCTCTTGATTTATCTCGTTTAAGTTAAACTCCTAAAATATTGCCTCCGAACAGTTGCTGCATGAAAAAGGTTGAATGATGACTAATACTGGTTGTAAAGATGAGATGCTATGAGAATATAGTTCAGTTAGGGAAAAATTAAGACATTTTTTCACCTTTCATTCATTTATTGCTCCCGGCTTCTTGATTTTAGCCCTGAAGATTATATAGACACAGAATCTCCTGTCCCTCCAGACCCTGAGCAACCTGATTGTACCAAAATTCTAGAACTTCCATATAGTATACATGCTTTTCAACACCTGCGAGTAAGTAGAGAGATTTGGGATTTTTTTTTTTTACATTTTTTTCTGTAATTTAGTCTCTTACATTTAAATATTTTTTCTTCTCCCCTTCTAAACAGCTTTATAATTTTACAAACATATCCTATTTCTTAAAACTCCTTTAAAATAAGTGCTATAAGATACTGAGTTACTTGTGATCTTTTGTCTTGTGATCTCTTTTTTCTGTGTATGTGGTTTTGTTTTTTTCAATTTTTTTCTTCTTCTCTTCAGGGTGTACAAGAGAGAGTTAATCTTTCTGCACCTCTATTACCTAAAGAAGATCCAGTCTTCACATATTTATCTAAACGACTAGGAAGAAGTATAGATGACATAGGTCACCTCATTCATGAAGGCCTGCAGAAGGTAAGTCATCAGTGATTGAAAGAGCCGGAGACTCTGTGCACAGAAGGTCTTTTTTTCTCAGAAAATAACCTGTCTAGATTGTTTTTGTCTAGAGAATGATTTTAAATATGATTACATTAATGTAAACTATGTAGTTCAAAGCTAGGGAGAAACATTGGTAGTCTAGTCCCCTCTACCAGGAAGGGATGCCAAAAGTTTTATTTAAACTAATTCATGAAGGGCGCCTGGGTGGCTCACTTGTTAAGTGTCTGCCTTTGGCTCAGATCATGATCCCAGAGTCCAGGGATCGAGTCCCACATTGGGCTCCCTGCTCTGCGGGAAGCCTGTTTCTCCCTCTCCCACTCCCCCTGCTTGTGTTCCCTCTCTCGCTGTGTCTCTGTCAAATGAATAAATAAAAAAATCTTTAAAAAATAAAAAAATAAACTAATTCATGAAAAAGCAAATTATAAGCCAAGATAAGCAGCAGGGCTTATAGGCTAGATTATATATTTTGAATGTGAAAGAAAATTTAACATTAGTGTCTTTGAAATATCTACCCAATACATAGATCGTCACTGTTCTCTGGACAAGAAAAGAATCACCACCAACAATAAAGTCTTCTTAAAATTTTCTTTTAAGGTACCATCTACTTTTAAAAGCATGAAATAGGGAATTGTGTAATAGGACCCAAGAAATTAAATGTATCATTCTGCATATCATGTGGGAATTTAGAAAACAGTTTTGTTTTTTGTGTTTTTTTACTCTTCTCTGTGCCTGAGTTGTATCATAAAATGCAGGCTAGTTTCTTTTCTAAGATATTTATTTACTTATTTATTTATTTGAAAGCGTGTGAGAGAGCAAGCAAGCACACGAGAGCGGGGGGAGGGGCGGAGGAAGAGGGGGAGAGAGAGAATCTCAAGCAGGCTCCATGGAGCCTGATGCAGGGCTCAGTCCCACGACCCCGAGATCACAACCTGAGCCAAAACCAAGAGCAAAAGGCTTACCCGACTGAGCCACCCAGGCACCCCAAAATGGAGGCTAGTTTTTAAGCAGTATTATAATGGTACTAAGTAAAATGTGAAAGGGCAACATTTATATAGAGTTTATTCAAATACGTCATATATCTACGTGTGTGTGTGTGTGTGTGTGTGTGTGATTTTGTAGTTAAGTTACTGTCTTCATCTTGTTTTTATGAAGGTAATGTAAAACATTGCAGCCCCAGAACTTGATGAGTATAAAAACTACCTAGGAAAACTGGCCTAGGATTTAAAATATCCTTCAAAGGATGGTTAGTTGAAAGTAGATGATAGTGGTAAGTTCTCTATAGAAAATTAAAATAGAGGGTAATTGTGTGGCTACTTTAGATTGAACAGTTGGGATCATCCTCTCTGGAAAGGTGAAATTTAAGCCAATATCTGAATGAGAAGAAGGAACCAACTGTCTGAGATCAAGGAAGAGCATTCTAAGCCAAGGCAAAGGCTCTGAAGCCGTTAATGAGCTCAGTAGTGTAGTAGTCTGCTCAGGCTGCCGTCATAAAATACCACAGACTGGGTGGCTGAAACAACAGAAACTTCTTTCTTGTAATTGTGGCGGTTGGGGAGTCCAGGATAAGGCGCTGGCTGAGTCAGTTCCTGCAGAGGACTTTCTTCCTGCCTTGCAGATGACCACCCTCTCACTGTGTCCTCACATGTCCCCTTCTCTGTACGTGTGGCGGGGGAGATCTGGTATGTCTTCCTCTTCTTATGAGGGAACTGGCCCTATTGGATTAGGGCCCTACTCTTAGGACCTCATTTAACCTTTATCATCTCTTCCCAGGCCCTGTCTTCACATACAGTCACACTGGGTTAGGGCTTCCACATAGAAATGGGGCGGGGGGCAGGGAGAGACACAAAGATTCAGTCTGTAACAGGTGAAGGTCAGTAAGGTTGGAGCCTGGTGAGCAAAGGAGAGGATGATAGGGAATGCAGCCAGAGAAGTAGACCAGGGCCATACTAAGTAGGCCTCTGAAAGCTAGGGTGAAGACTCTGTGTGCTGAGATGAGTGCTGGGAAGCTAGAGCAGAGGAATGACATAATTTAGTTAATATTTTTTAAAATATACTCAAACTTAGATGGAGAAATGACCGAAGGGACTCAAACTGAAAACAGAGAGGTCAGTTCTAATGGTTAGTATTGGAAATGGGCGAACTTAAACTATTTCAGGAAACGTTTAGAAGTTTAGAAGCTGATGAGTTAGATGTAGGGTATGAGGGGAAAAGAGGAATTGAGGCTAATTCCTGAAGTTTTGGCATGAGCAACTTGAAGAAGGAGCAGGGTTGGGGTGGAGGAAGAGAAGATAGAGTCTGTTTTGGTCACATTAAATTTGAAATACCTAAATGAGACTTGAGCTCCAGGAGGGGTCAGAGCTGGCTATATAGATAGAGGATAATTAAGTAGGGAGTGTTGGTAGCCATGGGACTAGATGAGGTCATCTGGAGGAAGGTGAAGTTTGAGACGAGGCTACTCTGAGTCCTTGGTCCTCCCACAGTTAGCTGTCAAGCAAAGGGGGAGAGGCCAGCAGAAGAGATCCAAAAGGGTATCCAGAAGAATGTGGTCTCCTAAGAGCCAAGGAAAAAAAGTGTTCAAGAAAAGAAGAAAGTATTGATAGTGACATTCAAATATTTATAGATTTGTGGGGGGAATTTTATGAGAAATCTAACAAAAAAAGTTCTTTAAAGATATTTTTCCCTTACTTCCAATATACCATGATGTACAGAGTATTCTGCTTAATCACAGTGTTTTCACTTGTTCATGTAGAATTTGTAATAGATTTTTTGGTCCCAATTCACAATGTAAAGTCTGAATATAAGAGATAAAAATCAAAGCATTTGTTGATTTGAAAAAAAAACTTTTCAAAGGGCTGTCAAAACAGACTGAAACCCAGGTCATAAGTCAGTTCTGAAAGAATGTGGCACATATCCCTTAACCACCTACACAAGTGTTAGACCCTCATTTGCATCACCTGCAAATCCTATACATTCCTTGAAAAGAATACTTAAGGCTGATTAATGCAGAATTATACTTAGTTTTAATCTTGAAAATAACTATTTTTGAAGAAAACAATTTCTCCTCGTGGAAAAAATTCAGACTATATTAAAAAATCTATAAAAGAGGAAGTAAAAAAAACACTCAGAGATAGTCTTACAATGTAGTCTTTTGTATTTTTATTTTTACACATCTTTATAGTTAAAACTTAGTTATTCTAAAGATAATTTTTTTTTTTTTTTTTTTTTTTTAAGAGAGAGAACCAGTGAGAACATGGGGGCGGTGGTGGGCAGGGAGAGGGATTGAGAGCTTCTTTAAGCAGGCTCCAAACTCTGAGCCTGATGCAGGGCTTGATCTCATTTCCCTGAGATCATGACCTCAGCCGAAATCAAGAGTTGGTCGCTTAACCCACTGAGCCACCCAGGCACCCCCTAAGATAAAATTTTAATAGTGGAATTTTGAGCATCAAAGGGTAATCATATTTTAAGGGTTTTTACATAAATGTTGTGAAACTGTCCCCCAGAAATACTGTATTCACCTAACATTTCTACAGTTAATATCTGAAGTTAATATACAGTGTAGCCAACAGTGAGTGTTGGTATTCTTTTTAATCTTTGCGAATTTATAAAAGGAAAATTTGTATCTTTTTTATTTATATTCTTTGTTAAGTTTTACATTATTTTCCTGCTAATTGGCCATTGTTTTGTACTTTTGAATTGTCTGTTCATGTTTTTGGCCCGTATTCTCTCGTATTTTGTCTTGTATTCTTTCTTTTTAGAGCTCTGTATGTATTAAAGATAATAAACAATGAGTGTCATATATATTTTTCCCAGTTTATCTTAAACTTTGACTTTTTTTTTAACTTTATATGACTTTTTTTGCCATGCTGAGTTTGAAATTTCTCTGCATGGGCTTAAACTATTTACATTGAGTTTTTGTCATGGTCCAGTTCAGTGTTTTGACCTCTATGTGGTTGAAATTTAGTATATGTTACAAGATGAAAAAATCCAAGCCACAGAAGGAGCAAACCTATTTGAATTTCTGTTTAACTAGACTAAATAATAGACTTATTACTCTATACTAAAGACAGTTTTTAGCAGTGAAGGTTTGTATTGTGAACACAGATGAAAGAAGAATAAAAATTCATCGTTTCCAAAAGGATAAACCTGTCTTTTGCTTATGTATGTACCTTCATTCAGATATTTAAATAAATAGGAAACTGTTAATTTCAGGAATTTCATGTTAGAACAACTGGCATTTCTAAGTAGTTTAGGTCCTAACTTCTAAAGTCCTGAAATAGGAACCAACAAGTTTTTGGGCCACTTGGTGGGCTTTTCAGCTTGATTTCCGAACTCTTGGAACAAGAGCTTGAAGTTGAATGGTCTCTCTGTGGAGATGACACCTGAAGGCACCTAACTTGCTCAACTGGTGATCATGCGGCTCTTTTGACAGGTGTAGTTTATTGGTACCTCATCCCCAGCTTATTCATTGGTGTAATGTCTTATTCTTCAGCTTAAATTTCAGAAGAGACTGAATAGTGAAGGTGCTCATTTTGAACATTCTAAGTGAAAGAAAGTATGTTGAGTTGTGTTTGATTGTCATCTTATGTGTTTAATCTCTAGAATTCTTCCTCATGGGTACTGTATAACATGGCTTCATTTTATTGGAGAATAAAGAATGAGCCGTATCAGGTAGTGGAATGTGCCATGCGAGCACTTCACTTCTCTTCCAGGTAAGATTTCTCCCTTTCTGGACTTCCTGATTCTCCACATATCTCAGGACTGGTAAAGAAGCAGTACGTAAGAAAACAATATGAAGGAGCATTGTGTTGTGCTTACACTCTCCTCTACCCCTGTTCAAAGAATTTAGTCCCATCACAAAAATATGACAGAAGTCAAAGAGTTCACAGTTGTTAATAGCACAAAATTCTTCTGATTTCTATTAAGGAAAAAATATATAATGTAGACACCCTCTGATTCACTTGAAACTTGAATATACGGACCTTGCCTGGAGGAATTAGCATAAATTAAATTGTTCTCAAAGCAAATAATGAGCCCTAAATACATTTTAAAATCATAAAATGTCTGCCCGACCTTATTTCTGTGGCAAAATTTGTAGCTGTCAGATTGAATAAGCACCATCAGTTATATAAAAATGTAACAGTATGATTTTCTTAAATTATTTTCTCCATCAATACACTCAAAGTTATTTTCCTAAGTTCAATAACTTCGAATGTAATTTTCCTTTATCAAGTAGTTATATGGAACCATGGAGCACACACTTCTCTCCTAATACCTAATTGCTCCTCTCCTCCTCTTTTAGGCACAATAAAGACATTGCCCTGGTCAACTTGGCAAATGTTCTGCACAGAGCGCACTTCTCTGCAGATGCTGCTGTTGTGGTCCACGCAGCTCTGGATGACAGTGACTTCTTCACCAGCTATTACACTTTGGGAAATATATATGCAGTAAATACAACTTTTTGTTTTCATGAGCAAACCAGTTGCTGTTTTCTTTTTTAAAAAATTTATTTTCAACTAAAAAATACCTTTTTCCCCTTCCTCTTTTGGTCTGAACAAGGAAAAGGGAATGGAAATTAAGAAGTTAGGGGGAAAATAAGTCAACACAATAATGTATCCTAATAGTCCTAGCCTCTTGACAAAAAAGAAAAATTAATAGGAATCATAAATTCCTGCAGAGTATGCCTCTGGAGATAGCAATATTTTCTAGGTAAGCGATCTTACAGCATATCTTATGTTGTCACTGATCAAAAATAATGTTCATAATAACGTTCACTATAGAGTGAGATATAAGTGTGATCTCATAAGTCATTAGGGGGTTTGGACAGATCCACCCACGCTGTGGCTAATGTTTTTCCTCCTCTGTGTGTGTATATGTGTGTGTTTGTTTTTGTCTCTTCAGATGCTGGGGGAGTATAACCACTCAGTGCTCTGTTATGACCATGCTTTGCAGGCCAAACCTGGGTTTGAGCAGGCTATAAAGAGGAAGCATGCTGTCCTTTGTCAGCAAAAACTTGAGCAGAAATTGGAAGCCCAACATAGGTAATTGGGTGAGAAAATTTCACTGAAGCCCTAGCACTGTAGAACCTTAGATTAGACCTGTGTAGGGTGATGTCAATGTTAATTTGCTCTTTAGAATTAAAAATACCTCTTCACGACTGCTAGTCCTATCCCTTTTCTCCAGATCCAGGGGGGTTAGCACAGCTCAGGGGTTGTGTAGAGGAATCTTTAACAGTATGAATTCCAGGAACTAGAGAATGTTTGCATAGATTCTGTCATTTAGGTCTTTATACTTCTGACCATCAATTACTTTTATGAAGTCAGATGGAGTGGGGGTGCTGCCAGATAATTAGTTAATTCGGTTACGTTTTAATTTCCACAGAATATATTGTCAGTAAAATCACTGGCACGTGCTGTATTTGATCTTTCTCCCCTTTAGCTGCTAGGGTTGGGCTAATGTTACGTTAGTTAAGTGAATGTGAGAAACATTATTTGGCCCATATTTTAATCAGATTTCTGTAAATTGTACGGTGATAAAGTTCTGTTATACTTGGTCCTTGCAATATACTTAATAAAAATGTATTTGATTCCATAAGTAGCAGGGCCTGTTAGGAAACATCACATAACTCGAAGTGAATTGTTCTTACGGAATTAGCCTCAATGTTTTGAGGCAACTTTGATTATTAGAGAATTAAATGGAGATTTGGAACTCATTAAACTATTGCATTTCCTTATTTTCCAGTCAACTTAAAGCATAATGTGGTGAAAAGGGAGGAATGACCACTTACTTGTTTATACCTGGCTTCTGTTACACCTGATCAGAACTTGTCCTGGCTGAGCAAATTGGTTCTCTCATACACAATCTGTACAGCTCCTAAATCTCCATGTGTTACAATGTAATAGGTAGAAAGGATTTTGTGATTCAATATAATCAGGCAGCTGATTTACTGATACCAGGTGGTAGAGAATATTTCTTTCTAAGCCAGGTTTCTGTGATTTTTTCCTAAATCCACAAACCCAAGGAGCTAGAGTTCAAGAGCAAGGTACTGTTGGCCCTTTCTTTTAACCTTGTCTTTACGTAGAATCAAAAGAAAAGATGAGAAGGTGGCTTTGAATGTCTGTGGAACTAACACAGACTTTGTGGAGGGAAATAGTTGTTGAATATGTCAAGATTTATACTATGTTGCTGTGTATCTTTTAGGTGCCTGAACAGTCCAACACACCATTTACTGTCAAGATAGTCATATGTAAGGGAAGAATTTTGCATCCTCTTTTTGCCTCTAAGTTTTAATAAAACAATAGATTTATTTTGCCCCATTGTTTCTAAACTTGTGGTACAGTGGTTGTATGTTAAAAGGAAAAAACTAGCAATTATTGCTGAGGACCAGAAAAATCTATGCAGTAAGTGGGTTTAAAAATTCAGTTTTAGGGCGCCTGGGTGGCTCAGTTGGTTAAGCGACTGCCTTCGGCTCAGGTCATGATCCTGGAGTCCCGGGATCAAGTCCCGCATTGGGCTCCCTGCTCAGCAGGGAGTCTGCTTCTCCCTCTGACCCTCCCCCCCTCATGTGCTCTCTCTCTCATTCTCTCTCAAATAAATAAATAAAAATCTTTAAAAACTATATATAAAAATTTCAGTTTTAAAGCTCTGTAACTTTTTTCCGGTGTTAAAAAATGTTAAGATCCCTCCAGCGAACACTGAATGAGTTGAAAGAATATCAAAAACAGCATGACCACTACCTGAGACAGCAGGAGATCCTAGAAAAACATAAGCTGATTCAGGAGGAGCAAATCTTAAGAAATATCATCCATGAGACACAGATGGCAAAAGAGGCACAATTAGGTGAGTATTGATTCCAAATAATTAAAGACAGGTTAGGAAGTTCACTTCTAGCATGTTCTACTTTCATAACTTTTGTGTAGCCCTAAAGCAGTATAAAGTTGTGCTTATGACTTCCCTCAGTCTTAAAATCAAGTCATCATAGCCGGTATACCAGCAGGCCTTGGGAGCTGGTTTGGTCTCTCTAGGTTTTTTTAAATTCACATTTTAAAGTAAAAATTAAATCTTTTAGATCCTAGAAGTCTTAACAACAGTTGTTCGGCCCACTTTGATTTAGTATGCATGCCAGTCTCTTGGAGACCTTGTTAAAACGCAGATTCTGATCAGTAGGTCTGAGGTAGGACCTGAGATTCTGTATTTCTAACAAGTTCCTAGTTAATGTCTGTTGCTGCTGGTCTGAAAACACAATGTGAGTAACATGGCCTCATACCAAGTAAACACAGGTCAGACACACCCTTGAAACAAAGCATCCACACTGTCAAGCCAACGCTGGCAATAAGGCTGTCTTACTTTTCTTCCTCCCTTAAAAACAAATATTTTATTTTAGAAGTAAGATTTTAGGCTAGAATTTTTCTCAAGCAAGAATTCTTAACCTGGGTTAATGGATTAGTTTCAGGTGGTTATGAAATCCTCCCCAAAATTACATGCAGTAATATGTATGTGCACAATTTTTTTTCTGGGAAGAAGGCATATATAGCTTTTATTAAAATCTCTTAGAGTCCATGACCCAGAAATAGAACCACTGTCTAAGGGCACTTGGGTTGACAGGATATCAGTGACTTGGTTATATCCAGAATGTTTCATTTCTGATAAAACCCTAAGGGAGTAGATCTAACAGCTGACACCAAAGAATAAATGAACAGAGTCCCTTATATTATATACTTCTCCTTTGATAAATACATTGATCTGGAAGCCCTCTTAAGTCTTTGACCCTTAGCTGTGACCATTTAAAGTCCATTTTACAATCCACCTAATTCGTTTTCTTTGCTATTTTGAATATAAAGAATATGTTCAGTTCTTGGGGTTATTTACTGCTTGCTCTGTACTACAGTACAACCAGGGCTCTTGTATATAATTTTGAAACAGAATTATGAAGTACATAAAACAGATTGTCTCCAGAGAAATGGCAGAAGTCTCTAAAAACAGTGTAATCAAGAGTTTTACTGTCATAGAATGTAATTACCAGAAGATATTTTGGTGATTTAGTGGAGCCCCTTTGTTTTTTATAGGTGGAGAAACTGAGGCTTCTTTAGAATGATTTAATTTAACTAACCATTAATGAGTGTTTCCCTCTATAGTACCGCCTCTGTAGTACTCTGCCAGGCTCTGAAACTAAATGAAATCATGGTGGCATTGCTGATCTTTCTCAACAATTGCAATTTCCTTTCTTATTCCAGGAAATCATCAGATATGCCGTCTAGTCAACCAGCAGCATAGTTTACATTGCCAGTGGGACCAACCTGTGCGCTACCATCGTGGAGATATTTTTGAAAATGTGGACTATGTTCAGGTCTTTTTCTTGGTCTCTTCTAGTTTTTATAACTTTGCATATCTAAGAGTAATATTGTTTTCCCCCCCTCGATTCCTTGTATATTTGATCCCCCGATTTGTGACTAATTTAAGGTTTTGAGTATGTTTATGAAGTCAGATTTCATAGACTATCTATGTAAATATTTCATAGATAGTCAGATTTCTCAGTTACTTCATGCATGACATTTCCAGTTCTCCCACGTACTAGCTGTATATCTTTTTCTTTCCTCTTTTACCATGAGAGCTAGATTGGGCTGTTACTAGTATTTAACTCAAAGCCTTCATCTCCCTTTTAACTTATTAGAGTAAGACCAGTAATTTAAAATTTGGAAAAGAGTAGCCATGCTTTTTCCTAAAGTCATCAGTCCAGTTATTATGTTGCTTCAACTAAAAACATTAACAAAATGATCATTATCAACAGAAAATTTTTATTAAGCACTATTGCTACATGCATGGATGTTTTCTCTCTCTTTCTGTCTCTGTGTATATCCATACATATACATGCAGTCATACACATGCATACAATCCTAGGCTAACTAGTTGGGAAGAAATAATACATATTTATAATGATACCAGAGAGCATCTAATTGGGCTGATACAGATAGTAAGCACAACGAGAGTTCCAAATATCATGCAAAGGGATGTTGGAAATAAAGTAAAATTTATCATATCCTATTGAAACCTATCATGTCTTTAATCATAGATACAGGAATTTCCAGAGATAAGCAGTTAAGATAATTAATAGATCAGAACAGCTTCTATAGGAGGACAAACCATGAAAAATTAGTACTCTTTAATCTGAAAAAACCCAGACCTCACTGAGAAAAAGAAGCAAAAATTAAGAGGCCGTTTAGGGGAGAAGTAGTAATAGGGACCAAAAGCTTCCTTTCGGAACACAGTCAAGGGAGATCAGACTTAACATCTGAGATTATAGCTCCCCCCCCTTTTTTTTTTTTTAAGATTTATTTATTTGAGAAAGAGCATAAGCAGGGGGAGCAGCAGAGGGAGAGGGAAAAGCAGGCTGAGCAGGGAGCCTGATGTGTGGCTCAATCCCAGGACCCTGGGATCATGACCTGAGCCAAAGGCAGTTGTTTAACCAACTGAGCCACCCAGGCGCTCCTATAGCTCCCTGTCTTAAATCCAAGCATTGGTTTAAAGGGGAAAAAAGGGAATGATATTTACAAATGATAGAGACGGAAACCAAGATAACTTTTGGATATCATGATGGTCTCAAGACAGACCATTTGGAAGACTCCCCTGTAAAAGTGTAGCTTCAGTGTTAAATATCCATAAGTTGCATCTCTTATATAGTGAAAGAATCCATTCTTTTATACTCCCTCCCATCCTGGACCCATTCTCTTATCCAACAAGGTTTTAGAAATACACAGGAATTGGGGTATCCCCTAAGAACATCAAACTGATTTACCTTGGTTTGGAGGAAGGCTGCATTTATATTTGGAGTTGATTGTATAATAGTTATGAGGCCTAAGTCATAGCTATATTAAACTCCTGAGAGCCCTTTTTCAAGTTCCCTTGCTTCTACCACAGCACACTAATTCTATAGAGTAGCAATCATTTTAGTCTAGATAGGGGAGGGCAATAATGAGCCAAACCTCTTAGAGAATCAGCTCACCTTTAACCCTAAAAGAGACTAAATCACAGAAAGGAAGTAGGGGGACAGTAAAGAAAGGAAGAATCCATGCCATTTTTCTCGTACTCCAATGGCATAGTTGATTGAAAGTTGCTAACTATGCATTTTCTGAGAGAATAGTGTTGGGGCCTAGTTCTGAAAACGTAAAGATCTGATTGCTTTATTACTGACCTACTTTCAGATTTCCTACTGGGTTTCAGTATTCACTGATGTTTTGGGTTGGATTAAATCTTAGTCACAACTTCTTTTCTGCTTCCCATTTGATTCAACTTTTCTTTTCATTTTCTAGTTTGGTGAGGATTCATCAACCTCCAGTATGATGTCTGTGAATTTTGATGTTCAGGCAAATCAGAGTGATATCAGTGATTTGGTCAAGTCTTCTCCCATAGCCCATTCCATTCTCTGGATCTGGGGCAGGGATTCTGATGCATTTAGGGTAAGTTAATAGAGGATGATGCAGTTTTTTCAGACAAGATTTCTGGAAGCATTGGCCCTCGCCTTCATTGAATAATATGGTCCCTATGACTGTTCAGCTTAGTTCAGCAAACACTTAGTCAACTTATATTAAACAGAAGGCAGTCTGCTAAGTCATAGATTAGCAAGACACAGGGTCTGCCTTGTGGTCTTCTGCCCAATCAAGTGGGGCATACAGACACTCTGATTTTAGTTTAAAACTTTGAGCTCTGAGTATAATTACCAACCCTAGAAAGTTTCTAAACTTGACCTAAGTATATGTTTCTATATACAGTTGACCTTTGAACAACATGGGGGCTAGGGGCCGACCCCCCATGCAGTCAGAAATCTGCATATAACTTTTGATTCCCCAAAAACTTAACTACTAATAGCCTACTATTGACCGAAGCCTTACTGAGAACATAAACAATATATTAACACGTATTTTTTATGTTGTAGGTATTATGTGCTGTATTCTTACAATAAAGTAAGCTAGAGAAAAGAAAATGTTATTAAAGTCATGAGGAAGAAAAATACATTTATATACTGCACTGTATTTATTAAAAAAAATCCATGTGTAAGTGGACCTGCATAGTTCAAAGCTGTGCTGTTCAAGATCCAGCTATATTCCACTTTTTAATCAGCTTTCTTTTATTGAGCTCCCATCTGTGCGTCAGGCTGGTACTATGAATATAGTATGCAAGCTCTTTGGTGGAGCTTACATTCTGTCAGATGATACAGATAATAAGTTAATAAATATGTATTTCTTTTTTTGAAGATTTTATTTATTTGAGAGAGAGCGAGCTCAAGCAAGGGGAGCGGCAGAGGGAGAGGGAGAAGAAGCAGGCTCCTTGCTGAGCAGGGAGCCCGATGCGGGGCTTGATCCCAGGACCCTGGGACCATGACCTGAGCCGAAGGCAGACGTTTAACCCACTGAACCACCCAGGCGCCCCAATAAATATGTACTTCTGAGCTAGCTAAGAAATAATTATATGTTAGCCCATGGGGATACCAAGGTATGAGGACAGATACTGTGTGTTTTTTATTCAATATTAAATTTTTAGAATTTAATCGAGTTTTTTTCAACCAGAATTAATATAGCCACTTAGATTTAATTCTATATAAAATAAATTCCCCAAAGTTTGATAGCTTCAAGATTTAAGTTTAGTAAGCCTCTGATGTGTGTTATTTATATTTAGGAAAATGAACATTTTACAAATCAAAACAATTATTAAATTTTGGCATTGGCAAAGAAAAGGTCTTAGTTCAGGGAAAAGTAGTTTTCTGTGCCAGTTTTACAAGCTTATATATGCTTTCAGGACAAATCATAAACTTTACTTCAAATTGGCTTAAAAGAAAGTATGCTTCATATTACAGAAAGTCCAGAGATCAGAGCAAGCTTTGGGTTTGGTTGATTCAATGGGCCAGTGATGTCATCAGTGACCCATTTCTTTCCTTTTCTTCAATTTGCCATCCACGGTATTGGTTTCGTCCTAAAGCTTGTCTTCCTCATGGTCAGGTGACAGCCAGTAGCAGCAACTTGGAGCAACATGTTCTTTGTTACTATGTGGCATAAGAGACTAAGACTGGCTTTTCTTTCCCAGAAGCCCCAAGCAACCCTTTCCTTGTATCTCATTAGGCTCAGCGGACTTAGGCTTGCCCAGCCCTGAACCAGTCTATGGTAAAGCAGGTAGAATTACTGACTTAGACTAATAGTCTTCAGTAGAAGGAATATTATAGAGTCTACCACAGTATCTACAATTATTTTAAAATACTAAATTGTTCAATTATCCTAGTATATTTATGTTCTTTTAAAAGTTTATTTAACATGTTGAAATACTGAATCCAAGAAAATTTATGAGAACTTTTTCTCTTTATTAGGACAAACAACATATTCTTTGGCCTAAAAGAGCAGATTGTGCAGAAAGCTATCCTAGAGTCCCTCTTGGTGGGGAATTGCCAACGTATTTTCTGCCTCCAGAAAACAAAGGACTCAGGCAAGTGCTGATGGATTTGGCAAAGCACTTGATTCTGCATGATTGTCATCTGGCAGTTCTTTGAGAGCACCAGCCTTGGACTTGAAAGGTTAAGTCTTTATCTTGAAATCACCCAAACTTTGAAAATATGAATCTTGTTCCTTTTTCTTGTGCCAGGATCCACGAACTCAACAGTGATGATTATTCTTCAGAAGAAGAGGCCCAAACCCCTGACTGTTCCATAACTGACTTCAGAAAAAGCCAGACTCTGTCCTACTTAGTCAAAGAATTAGAGGTCCGCATGGATCTGAAAGCCAAAATGCCAGATGACCATGCACGAAAAGTAAGGCTCACTTAGGCTGGTGTTTATTGCCGTCCATTCTGGGTGACTTCACAAGCCTCTTAGGTGGAACAAAAATTTGATAGAAGGCAGTTATTGAACTTAAAGTTTTTAAAACTGAGAACAGAGGTCAAGAATTGGTGAAATCATTAAGAAGACACTCATGCTATTGAAGGATTGCCAGAAAAGTGTGCTGGTCACACAGACCACATAAGCACTCTCTCTAATAAGAGTGGCCCAGGGAGGAGCAACACAGAACTCTGTTTACTTGCAGAGTTCATCTATTGGAGGCCATTCTAACCACTTCACTTTAGCTTTGCATCCTCCAGGCCTCCAGGAGTTTGTATAAATTGAAAGCTTGAAGATTCTCTTTCTGGCCTTATCAACCCTGCTTTGGCCTTATATATAAGGTCCTTGGAAGTTTGTATGAATTTGATAACTACTTTACAGATATTGTAGATAAGTTCTGTTATGCTTTGTTCTTTAATTCCTACTAGTTATGTATAACTAGGAATGTTTTATTACTGACTAGAAATTTAGTTCTCCATTACATTCCATTAGAATGATATCTACATTCTATATTACATACCGTTCTACATTAGATACAAATGAAAAAATTACTTTTTTGCAGAGAAAACAGACCATCACAACAACCTTTTTTAAAATTTAATTTTAAAACTATGAACAGTTACTCCTTAAAGTCAACAAACATTTACTGAGGCAAAAAACATTATGTGCCAGGCACTGTTTGGAATGCTAGGAAAGATAAATAGACCATGATCCCTACCTTAGAGTTGCTCAGAGTTATAAACATGTATCAAGAACATGGCATAATTGAGAATCCAGTGCTTTTCCAGCTAGGAAAGATAGAAGATTTTTGTTGCATCACGTGTTACGTGCAGTTGTCTTTTGAATAATTTCTCATTTGATTTTAGATACTTAGGTTGACTTTAATGGGGTATGGTATATCACCTTAATAGTATATGTGATATACATCTTTTAACATGTTTTAGTTAGAGGAAACTAGGGCATTCATGTAAGCAGGTCAACACCTGTTGGTATGTTGATGACCTCATGTTTTATATATATAGATATATGATTATAAATATCTATTCAGGTTAGCTGTTCCTGAGGAGCTCAAGTAAAGACTGCTATCTATAGAATTCTTTCAAATGTCTTCCCTGTTATTTTCAATTGAGTCAGTCTTCCTTTTGATATTTTCAGATTTTGCTTTCCCGTATTAATAACTATACTATCCCAGAAGAAGAAATTGGGTCATTCTTATTTCACGCTATTAATAAGGTAAGTCACCTGCTTTAGACATCTGAAATTTAAATGCTTAGTAATTGTAATTAAAAGTTAAAGTGCATGCATTAAAAATCCTTGTTAGAACTAGTACTGTATTCTTGTATTAACTGAGGTATTTTGGGTTTTTCAGCCAAATGCCCCCGTCTGGCTGATACTCAATGAAGCTGGACTCTACTGGAGAGCAGTAGGAAACAGCACTTTCGCTATTGCTTGTCTTCAGAGGGCTTTGAATTTGGCTCCACTTCAATACCAGGACATTCCTCTTGTGAACTTGGCCAACCTTTTGATTCACTATGGTCTCCATCTTGATGCCACTAAGCTGCTACTTCAAGCTTTGGCCATCAATAGCTCTGAGGTGAGGTTTTATGTTTCTTTGTAACTGCATGTACTATGTGGGGGTAACTCAAATTCAGGGTACAATTTGTATTTGTCTGGGGAAGGCATAAAAAGACCTGATATTTTTATGAGTAGAATATAATACTTTGAGATGATATAAAACAGATTTTGTTTTGTCTTATTTTTGATGTGTTTTTTTTATATTGATTTGTCTTACTTTGTGCAAATGTAGAATCATGCTAATGACATTTTTCTGTATCTTCTTGTTTTTACTCACAGATCTCTCTTAGATATATTTAATTTCTATTTTTTAATTTTAATTCCACTGTAGTTAACATACAGTGTTATATTAGTCTCAGGTGTACAATATAGTGACTCAACTCTTCCATACATCACCTGGTGCTCATCACAAGAAGTACCCTTCTTAATCCCCATCACCTCTTTCACCCATCCCTCTGCCCACCTCTCTTCTGGTAACCATCAGTTTGTTCTCAATAGCTAAGAGTCTGTTTCTTGGTTTGTCTCTCTCTCTCTTTTTTTCCTTTGCTTGTTTCCGCTATTCAAGGTCTTTTGTAGTTCCATATTAATCTTAGGATTTTTTGTTCTAGTTCTGCAAAAAAAATGCTGTTGGTATTTCGGTAGGGATTGTATTCAACGTGTAGATCGCTTTGGGTAATATAGACATTTTAACAATATTTTTTCTTCCAATTCATGAATATGGAATGTCTTTCCATTTGTGTTCTCTTCAATTTCTTTCATCAGTGTTTTACAGTTTTCAGAGTATAGGTCTTTCACCTCTTTGATTAGGTTTATTCTTAGGTATCTTACTATTTTTGGTACCGTTGTAAATGGGATTGTTTTTTCAATTTCTCTTCCTGCTGTTTCATTATTAGTATGTTCAAATGCAGCAGATTTCTGCACATTGATTTTGTATCCTATGATTTTACTGAATTCACTTAACAGTTTTAATAATTTTTTGGTGGAGTCTTTAGGCTTTTCTATATATGGTATCACATCATCTTCAAATAGTAAATGTTTTACTCCTTCCTTACCGATTTGGATTCCATTTATTTCTTTTTGTTGTCTGATTGCTGAGGCTAGGACTTCCAGTACTATGTTGAATAAAAGTGGTGAGAGTGGATATCCTTGTCTTATTCCTGATGTTAGGGGAAAAGCTCTCAGTTTTTCCCCGTTGAGGGTGATGTTTGCTGTGGGTTTTTCCATATATGCCCTTTATTATGTTGAGGTTTGTTTCCTCTAGACCTACTTTGTTGAGGCCTTTTATCATGAATGGATGTTGTACTTTGTCAAATGCTTTTTCAGTGTCTATTGAAGTGATCATATGGTTTTTAGCCTTTTTCTTACTGATGTCATGTATCACATTGATTTGCGAATATTGAACCGCCCTTGTATCCCAGGAGTAAATCACATTTGATTGTGGTGAATGATTTTTGTTAATGTATTGTCAGATTCAGTTTGCTAGTATTTTGTTGAGGATATTTGCATCTATGTTCATCACAAATATTGGCCTGTAGTTCTCTTGTTTTGTGTCATTTCTTTATTTTAAATGAGTGAAATTTATAATTATGTAGTTAATTTATTTTTAGGAACTTATGTTTAAGTAAGAGGGACATAGCTGCTAAAAATATACTGCCACTTTTTTATGTCAGTCTGAAACATCTCATTCTTTCTTTATCTACTCATCACTGTATGCCTGCTGCTTAATATTATACTGTTTTACAGCTTTAATTTATAGATAGCTTTATACCAACCAAGCCAGAACACAGTTTAAAGGTTGCACTGATAAGAATAGATAGATGGGTTAATATTCGTGCCCTGAACCTCCCACATGCAGCCCATGGAGTTAATCACTGCTGTGTAGTTAATTACTCTAGTTCATAGTTTCTGAGATACAACTTCTTTTTTAATATTTTAACATCTCTGAAATAATGATGCATGTTACAATTGATGACATCTTAGGTTTGATGAAATACAGTTATAATAAATATACAATTAAATTGCTCTTATACCGGGGCGCCTGGGTGGCTCAGTCGGTTAAGCGACTGCCTTCAGCTCAGGTCATGATCCTAAGGTCCTGGGATCGAGCTCCACATCAGGCTCTCTGCTCAGTGGGAGCCTGCTTCTCTCTCTCTCTTTGCTGCTCCCCCTGCCTGTACTCTCTCTCTGTGAAATAAATAAAATCTTAAAAAAAAAGAATTGCTCTTATACCTAGTGTTTACATGTTCTTAAGTTTTATATCCAAAAATTGTTTTATTTTACTTATTTTTTTTTAAAGATTTTATTTATTTATTTGAGAAAGAGCACAAGCAGGGGGAGGGGCAGAGGCAGAGGGAGAAGCAGGCTCCCCACCAAACAGGGAGCCCAACGCAGGGCTCAATCACAGGACCCTGAGATCATGACCTGAGCTGAAGTCAGACTACCCAATGGACTGAGCCACCCAGGCGCCCCTCCAAAAAAACTTTTAAAAGAAGTGTGCATGAGTGGTTTAGGTTTATTTGTGATATCTCAGAACTAATTTTTTAAGCATGAGAAGAAAATATTGCCTGTTAAGAGTTTCCCTTGAAATACACAAATTCACAGGTAGATTTTAAGCCAAAGTTTATAATTGCTATACTGTACAACAGGCCTGGTGCCAAAGTATATCAAATATTTATCAAATGTTTGCTATGGGCCAGGTGTAGGTACAGTGGGAACAGATGCTATATATGGGATGTGATGATTGGGCCCCCAAAGGGAAGGCTCAACACAGCTGTATTCCTGCGATACTTGTTTTACTTTCTACTGCCACCAGCCAAGGCAATGAGGCAGTATTCTTCTGAAGAAAAAAGAGCTCCTTTAGAGATTAATTGCCTTTCTATATTTGAAAAAATTACACTAAAATTTCAGTTGTTAAATATCGTGGTGCTACAATAATAATAAAAAGATAAATCAGTGGATCAGAATAGAGACCACAAAAATACACCTTAATCAGCACTCTCCCCCCAACTATCAACATTTGGAAATGATTCCTGTAAGTTTTTCTTCTATTCAGATATTTCATAGTGTTGCAGCACTGTTGCACTGGTGATCTTTAGAACTTACCATATAAAAAAGTTTTATTACCACCTAGGTTTTCCTAGCCATCAGTAATGGCTGCTTATGAATTTATGTATCACAGTTTACTCCTCTGTCGTTGGATGTTTAGGTTGCTGATAGTGCTTACCTATTATCACTGATGGTTTTCTGCATAAGGCTTTTTCTGCATTCCAGGTAATTTTCTTAGGAAAGATTGCTAGCAGTGAAATTACTAAGCAAATGAGTATTTTGATGGTTTTGATACAAAATGCCAAACATCTACCAAAAGATTTGGGCCAATATATATTGCCATCATCAAGGTTGGAAAGTATTCATTTCATCTGTAGCTTCACCAGAATTGGGCAATTGAACTAACTGCTAACTTTTATTATTGTTTACTAGACCCAGGCACTGATCACTTTACATGTGATAACTCACTTAATCCTCACAACAACCCTGTGAGATAAGATTTACCCATTTCATAGATAAAGAAACGGGCAAAGGGATTTACCAAAAGTCTCAGAGCATGGATTTATTTGAACTCCAGGAGATTGGCCACAGAGCTCACACCCTTTGGCCATGTCACACTGGCTCTGACTTAACATTTGTAAAACAAATTTACTTTAAAAAATTTCACTCCTGTGTTATAAATTTCTTTATCCTTTAATTGTATTTTTATTTTCTTATTTAATTTTTTCTAAAGATTTGTTTTGTTTTTTAAGTAATCTCTACACTGAATGCGGGGCTTGAACCTACAATCCCGAGATCAAGAGCCACATGCTCCACAGACTGAGCCAGCCAGGCATCCCTTTAATTGTGTTTTTAAAGTAAAACTTTGTGTATGCATTTTGCTCATTTTGTTAGAATTTAGGGTTTTTTTTTTATTTTATACAAACTCTTTATACAAAATCTTTAACTCCATCATACATTAAAAAATATTTTCTCTTTTTTTCTTATCTTTTTAAAAATACCCTTCAATTTGCCCATCTTTTCTCTTGATTTTTATTGTTAGATTTCAGGTATCCTCATAAGAAGTTTGAGAACAATTAGTTCTATTTTGGTTTTGCTATCTATTACTTGTCTTTACATAGTTGACTCAAATATACTAAAATATTTTCCTATGTTGTCTTCTAGATGATTTTTAGTTTTAGGTTTTACATGTAGGTTTGTGATCCATTTCAAGTTAAATTTTTTTTGTAATGTTGAGTGGGGATCAAAGTTCATTCATCAAAGTTCATATCACATAGACATCCGGTTGTTCCAGCACCACATCTTGAGAACCCTGTGTTTCCTTCTTGAATCACCTGTCACCTTTGCTCTGAACTACAGACTCCTTTATCCAGCAGCTTACTTGACCATCTCCATGTGGATGTCTAAAACATACTTTAAAACTAAAGGGCAAAACTAAGCTCTTTTACATTGTTCCAGTCTTTTCTTCTCTGTCTTTCCCATTTCAGGAAACAGTAAAGCTAGTAGCTCGGGACAAAAACTTGGAGCCATCCTTCATACCTTTTTTCCTCTTTCAGGGTAAATTCAGTCTATTAACTAACCTTGCTGGTATTTTCAAAATACACCCAGAATTGTACTGTTTACCATCATCTCCACTGCTGTCTGATCCAATACACCATTATCTTTTATCTGAATTATTTCATTAGCCTCCTGCCTAACTTCTTTGCTTTTGGCCTTTGTCCCCTCAGTAAGATCATTATAAAAAGTCAGATGTTGTCATCTGTCTCTTCAAATCTCCGCAGTGGTTCTCCATGTAACTCATAGTGTAGAAGGTCCTACATGACCTTGTTACTTTTCCGACCTCATGCCCGTGAAATCATTCCTTTGCTCATTCTGTTCTAGCCTCACTTACCTCTGCAGTCCCTTGAACATACTAGGCATGCTCCCGCCTCAGCCCCTTTGCACCTTGTTCTCTCTGTTTGGAATACTTCACTCCACCAAGATTCTTGATATCTTGCTTCATCTCCTTAAAAATCCTTTAAAATACTAACTACTCAGTAAGCTCAGTAAGTCTTTCCCTTCCTACACTATTTAAAATGGCACTCCGTTACCCACTCTGGTCTACTTAACGTCTCTTCCCTGCTATACTCTTCTCCATCACATTCGTCTCATGCTTGTGTTAATCCCCCATGGTTTTGTGACGCTTGACTAAAAATCTACAAAGGCAGGGACTTATCTTTCTTATTTTCTGCTGTATCCCCGGTATCTAAAACATTGGTAAACACTCAATAGTTATTTTCTGGATGAACTGATGAAAATTCATTTTTTTCCCAAAATACTAATTAGTTTATCTCAATATAAGATATTTGCACAACCATCATTCTGGTCATAGGACTAAACATTTTGTTTCCTTATGTAAAAATATAAAGACACTTTGAAATCTAAATATGGGATTTAATTTTGCATCTGGGTATAAACCACTAAGTAAAATTTTAAATGGAATCTGAGAGCTACTTAGATTATGCCTCTGTAATCTGGAATATTTTGTATACCTTGGCTTGGTTATAGTGAGATATTATGGGTGACCTAACAGCCTGAATCAAAAGCAAGTAGTTGGAAGAAAAATAAAAAAACAAGCTAGTAGTTGGATAAATCATAGGTATTGCTTTTCATAGGGATATATTGTACAGTTTGAAAGTAAAACATTCTTAGATCCCTTAAAATATTTTTAATGATAAAATAAGTGTAGAATAAATGGTCTGTACACAAGCAAATACAAATTACCAAGCATAGGTGTATTTCAACTAAAATGACCTAAACTGAATACTTTGGGCTGCTTATAAAAACAGTCTCAACAAACAATTGGAAAATAGGATACAAAAACTATTTATAATAGCATAAAAAATCAGATATCTAGAAATAAATTTAAAGGAAGATATATAAGATTTCTCTACTGCATTGCAAAATATTGCTAAGACAAAGAAGACCCAAATAAGTGGAGAGACATTACATTCATGGATTGGAAGGTTCGGTATTGTTAAGATGTAAGTTCTTAGGTGGGGGGATGGCTTAGCCCGTTGATGGGTATTAAGGAGGGCACATACTGCATGGAGCACTGGGTGTTATACGAAAACAATGAATCGTGGATCACTGCATCAAAAACTAATGATGTATGGTGACTAACATAGCATAATAAAATTAAATTAAATTTTTAAAAAAATGTAAGTTCTCTCCAGAATTGATTTATAGATTTAATCCTGTGCTCCCAGCTATTGCAGGTATATGTATGTGTAAATGGATAAGTTGATTCTAAAATCTACACAGAAATGAATCTAGAATAGCCAGAAAATTTACGGGTGAGGGGGAGAAAAAAAACAGTTGGGAGGCTTATGTTACTAGATTTCAAGACTTGCTGTAATTAAGTCAGTATGGTATTGGCTCAGGGATACCCAAACATATCAATAGAACACAACAGAAAAATTAGAAATCAGCCCTGTATGTATGGTCACTTGATTTATGACAAAGGCACACCAGTAGTTCAGGGGGGTGGGGACACCTATTGGTTTTTCAGTAAGTAGTGCTGGAATACTTGGATATCCCTATGGAAAAAGAAATGAACCTTCACTTCTCCCGAATTTCATATACAGTTGAGGTGGATCATGTACCAAAATGTGACACATGAAACAGTAAAGCTTGATGAAAAAATAAGAGAAGGTCTTCATAATGTTATAGTAGGCAAAGATTTAAAAAAGCACTGACTGTAAAATATGTATTTGTATAAATATATAAATATTTTCATATATACATATACATGTATGTATCTGTAAACTGAACCTCATCAAAATTAAGAATTTCTATTTATCAGAGATACCAGGAAGAGAATAAAAGGCAAACCCCAGACTGGGAGAAAATATTTGCAATAAATATTTCCAACAAAGGACCCATATCTAGTACATGTATAAAGAGCTCCTCCAAATCAGTAAGAAAAAGACAACCTTTTTTTTTAATGGGGAAAACAATAGGCACTTCAGAAATGAAGATATCCAAATGGCCAATAAGCACATGACAAAATATTCAACATCATTACTAACCAAGGAAATACAAATTAAAACCACATTGAGATGCTACTTCATCATCTCACTAAAACAGCTAAATTTAAAAGACTGACAGTCCTAAGTCAGTAGATTCTCATACTTCCTGATAAGAGTGTAAGTTTGTACATCCACTTTAGAAAACTCTTTGGTTGTGGGGCGCCTTGGTGGCACAGTCAGTTAAGCATCCAACTCGTGGTTTTGGCTCAGGTTGTGATCTCTGGGTCATGAGATTGAGCCCCACCTTGGGGTCCACGCTCAGTTCAGAGTCTGCTTGTCCCTCTCCCTCCCCCTGCACCTACCCCCACTCGTACTCTCTCTCTCAAACAAATAAAAATCTTAAAAAAAAAAAAAAAATCTGTATCTCATAAAACTAAATATATGCCTACCTTAAGACCCACTGCTGAGTATATATCCAAGGAAAATGAGCACATACATCTTAAGTTTCTTAAACCTTAGATATTGTACTGAGTGAAAGAATCTACAAAAGGGTACAGTTTATATATACATGGAAGGAAACATGCTGTTTGATTACATTTATATGAAATTTAAAAACAGGTAGAGCTAATTTCTGGTGATAGAACATAACAGTACTGGTTACATCTGGGATTGGGGTTGGGTTGCCCAAGGGAATCTTTTGGGGTGTTAGAAACATTCTAAATGTTTTATATCTTGAGATGAGAGGTGGTTACAGGGATATATACACATATAAAAATTCATTGAGCTGTACACTTAAGACTAGTGGATATTACACACTTTATTTTTTATTTTAGTAAAAAGGTAAAATATAAATTTATATCTGTTACAGTGTAGAATTGGCTGATGTAGATAAAATGGACAGTTTGCCATTAACTATTATGGGATAACCTAAAAGAAGCCAAAAGACATATACTTTAAAAGTTTTGTAACTCTCAGGAAATATTAATTCATTAACATTTTTCTGATTTTTTTTTTTTCTTTTCAGCCCCTGACCTTTTTGAGCCTGGGAAATGCTTATCTTGCTCTGAAGAATATCAGTGGGGCACTTGAGGCCTTTAGACAGGCTTTGAAATTAACTACCAAATGCCCAGAATGTGAAAACAGCCTGAAGTTGATACGCTGTATGCAGTTTTATCCTTTTCTATACAACATCACCTCTTCTGTTTGCAGTGGTAAGCAGCTGTTAAATGCTGGCAAAATAATGAGCTCAACCAGGGTTCCTATTCTGATCAGCAGAACACAGAAAATGATTTTTCTCAGTTTTTCCTGGGGATTTTACATCACTAGTGTAATTCTAGATACATAGGAAGGAAATTAATTCATTACTTATATACAGATGCCTTAGGGTATTGTGCTTAATTTAATTCTCTTCTAGAACCCTAGTTGAAAAAAGGCTGACTAAAGTAGATTCAACTGAGATTGATAGACTGTAAGATTTTTTTTCTTACCCCAAAACGTGTGATGTTTTTTAATGACCAATATTAATGGTAAAGGATATATTTTCTGTCCATAAAGATAATCTGCAATAAGATTTGAAGCATTTGAAGATTGATCCTCATTCACTGAAATATACCCCTAGCCTTTCAGTGAAGATGATCCAGATCTTGACTGCACCTTTAAAGTAGTCTCCTGACATTAAGGGGTATCTTCTTTCATTCTTCCACTTTCTCCCACAGCCACCCGTACATATATATGCATATATATGAATGTGCATAAGTGTGTCCATCTGGGTAAAAAAAAAATCTGAGTTAATATCTATCTGAACTATTATAACTATTATAAATTCATCAGTTAGAACTCCATAAGGGTTCCATTATGTTTACTTGTTTAACTTACACTACAAGAATAAAAAGAGTTTGATTTGAGTTATGAGAGGTGAGGTTTACATATATGTGAACCCTCAGAACCTTGATGTTGTAGAACTCACCGTGGGTGCCTTGTTAATGTTCAGGTCAGATTGTAATATTTAAGCAGAGCACTATCAGTCCTTCTCCTTCACTTAAAGAAAAAAAAAAATCCCTCAAACTGGTTTTGCAGATTCACCGTACTAGTCTGCCTTAAGATCTTAATGAAATGACAGGCAGTAAGTAGTGTTTACATTTTTAAGTTTCAGAGCCCAATTTTTTAGTGAAGAAACCAAAAATCTAGTAGCAGCATAACTCCATAGCTCAGTTGTGGGTCAGTACTGATCCACAGAGGATCTAAACTAGAGTTCTTGCATGAATACTGAAAGCCTAAGACAGTGTGTTAGCAATGCAACAGTTCAGCGATGCAACAGAGTCCTACAGACTCATGTTTGAGCTTAGCTCTGCCATTGCTGTGTATCTAATCCCTGTGAAGTAACTTCTGTCCTCATCTATAAAATAAAAGGGAAAATCTGTCCCATAGACTTGTTGGTAGGATTAAAAAGATCCTTATCACATGATAGATGTTGGATAAAAATAAGCCATTAGAAATTCGTAATAAATACCAAGTAGTTCGACCGTAGTGGTGCAAGTTATGGATCTTTTTTTTTAATTTTATTTTATTATGTTATGTTAGCAAGTTATGGATCTTTATCTTCTTACTTAATTCCAGAAAATATGTTGGGGTCTCTTAAATTCCTTAGATTACCTGACAATAGCCTTGTAAACAGAATTTCACTTTTTTCAATGAGCTGCTTTTATTATAGAGTCTCTTGTATTTTTCACCTGGTATCATCTTCCTCGCCTCTTTCCTGTTATTGGAAAGAAGAGTTTGTATGTATATAGTGATCCTCTTCTAAAAAGCCTTTTCATTAATATTACTTTACATGCTTTTGCTTAGGATTTCAGTTTCTTGAAATTTATTATTATTTTATGTCACTCATGTCAAGAGAAGGAATTCAGTTGTCTTGAACTTTTTTCCCAGAGCATAATTTCAACTAGCCCAGGAAACTAATAACCTGAAACAAATTTACAAAGTTGTAGTATCTTAGTATTTAGTTGTCCAGGTATCCCACAGATATTATTACTCCATCTAATACAAAAAAGAAAATAATTTGACTTGGGAAGAGGGAATACTTTTTTTAGTTGTTTCAGAGAGAGCTCATTAATAAACTTTTTTTAATTTAGCCCCTTTTATGTTGCGATTAATTACTTTAGGAGAGAATCCACCATCTGCTAAATACTGGTGCCCCCTGATGGAGATGTATGCTATAGCGTTTTCTAAGTTTCCAACTTCATGGACAATACTGAGTTCATTTCCGTATTGATTTTTTCTTTGACAGTGTTTTTGCATTACTGTTTCCACAGGAATCCTGTACATTAACAGTTGCTTTGCTGAGTTCCAGCTTTGAAAAGCTGAAACTTCAAAGCAACAAGTATCTCCACAGGCACCATAAACTTCTTATATTTGAAAACCCAGTTTAATCTCCTCTATCTCTGAGCTTTACTAAATGCTTGAGGAAAAAAAGAGAAAAACCTCTGAATAATGATTGGCATTTCTGTACCTTCAGATGATTGTCTGCCTTTTGCTTTTTCATTTTTGCAATACTGAAATAAGCCTTATAAGTTATCCTGCATGTCTGACACATTGTCTAAAGTGTTTATTGTGATAGTATGAAGTTTTCAAGATATCAACAAGGCTTATGATTCTTTTTCCATATAGTAATCAAGGAATTCATGTTGATTTTTATTAGAGAAGAATTTCAGCTGCCCTTACCCACTCCATCCCAACCTAAGTCATTCTCTTATGAAAGTCTGTTTGAAAAGCTACCATTTAAAAGCTTTACAGATAAGCTTTTCTTCGAGATAAAAAATACCTAATTACTCATAGAAAACATTTCTGTAATAATTTTCTGACCGTTATTGTTAATTTTCAACAAATTTTCCTTAAAGATCCATGTTAGTAACTATTTTTATAGCAGCTGTAACAGTATAATCTCTTGGGTAATATGAATTTAATGCCAAAATTGTAGGCATAGGCAGTGTGTTAACATAAGCAAGGATTTTATTGCTTTTCATATGTAATCATGGAATTTTTCACACAGATTTTCAGTGTATGTGTCTTGGAGTGTTTGCACAGGTAATGCAACTTCGTTCAACTTAAAAAAACATAATCACTATGCTTACAAAATGTTTCCACTTGTAAAGGCTTTATAGCTGAAAAATGTGTCAGTGCATAATTACTTACCTGACAGTTTTTCCAAACTTTATTGACTGCCATGTGTTAGGTGTGTATATTCTTATATAGCAAGTGCTTGACATCATTTCTTTCTCTCTCCTTTGAATAGCTTTTAATAAATTCTTCTCTTTTATAGGTAGTTTTATATCACCACCCCAATTTCAAGGATGCTGGGAAGGAAAACTTAATAGATTGTTTTTTAAATTGTCTACTCTTGAGTTGACTATTAAAAGGGAAGCTAGCACTTTGAGTTTTGATTAAAATGAAAAGACCAGTTTTGAAATACATGCTGTTTTACCACATTTATTTATTGTGGCAGTTTTGAAATACATGCTGTTTTACCACATTTATTGGTTTGTCATTTTACAATTTGATTTAACTTAAATAGAACTGTATGTGCCACTTTAACAAACCCATTCTTCAATAACAACATACTTGGCCCTTTTTAAAGTAAAATGGAATCTGTTAAATAAACTCAGTGCTTTCGAGTATAAGTAAATTCTTTTCAGTGCTTAACACTAAAATAAGGACTTTTCTTTTTAATTGGAAAGAATAAAGGTGTTAGAAAGAATAAAACTTCATGAGGTAATAACTAAGGACCAAAAATGGAAAATAAATTTTCATTATAATATAAGCAGAATGGTTAAATATTGAACCTGTAGAGAAGTCCAGAAATACATGTAGTGGATTTTCCGAGCATTTATTACTCCAAAATATTTTCTAAGTACTTTTTCCTTCAACTTCACTAATTTGCAAATCAGTTATATCTAGTGAAGGTATTTTTCTACTATTTAATCAGTCTAGATTATTTTATTATTATTATGTCTCTGATATGTATGGTTTTACTTTATTTTTAGTATTTTTATCCAGTATTATTTTTCTTTAGAAAACATCAGACCAATGGCAGGTCATATTTATTAGACTTCATTTACATGAGATGCTTACAGGTATGCCACTGACAATGGCATTGGTATTTGCTGAATATAATAAAGCATCTAACCCTGTATTTCTCTGGTCTTTTCATAATTCACTAAGACACATGCCAACTTAAAAATATTGACCAGATCTTTAGAAATGATGGATAAATGTTGTACAGTAGAACTCAGACTTTAATACTTAGGTATGCTTACCATTTTATGCAGGTTTTTCTATATGTATATGAAAGCTTTCACCACTAGAGAAAAAAATTTCTTTTACCTAATAATTTTATTTACCTAATAATTTTACTTACCTAAATCATAGCTTCTTTTATAATTTGGTTCATTACCTATGGTTTTAGTCTGTGCTCTTCAACCTTAATTTCTGTAGATTTATAACTTGTAGCTGAAAACAATTTTACCTGGAGTTTAGATTTTGAAGAAAAAGAAATCTTGCATTTTGCTGCCCTCCTGTGGACTATCCAGCACATGCTACCTGCAATTAAGGACCTTTGCTTTATGACATTCTTCATAAAAATTAATGAAGATGTCTGCTTTAAAAAACAAGATACAGTCTTTTTTTTTTTTTTTAAGATTTTATTTATTTATTTGACAGAGAGCGAGAGACAGCGAGAGAGGGAACACAAGCAGGGGGAGTGGGAGAGGGAGAAGCAGGCTTCCTGCCGAGCAGGGAGCCTGATGCGGGGCTCGATCCCGGGATGCTGGGACCATGACCTGAGCCAAAGGCAGACGCCCAACGACTGAGCCACCCTCTTAAAGATCCAGTTTTTATAGCATTTTTATATGCTACTAGTTAACTTCCCTCCATTTATTTCTGTAAGAAGAATTAAAACTTTGGTTAATTTACTACAGGTTTCAAAATCCTAAAATGCAAGCATATCCTGCAACAAAGCCAAATGTAACTCTATGTGTAATGTGTTTAGATTTTTGTATTTCTTTACTTTTTTTAGGGCTTTAATTATTTGGTTAACAAATTATCCTTTGACAAGTATCTATGTGGTAGAGGGGGGATAAGTAAAGAGCCCTTTTTATGAATTTAGAAGCAAAGATTATGAGTTACTCAAGTCAAATGTCGCTCAGTGGTAGAGCCG